GATGCTGCTTTTGTGATTCTCTGATTGAGCATATACAAACTAAGAGTTTATCCCAATTTTCGGAACAATGACTGACTCGTATGTGGCGCTTACCTGACTTTACCCATAAAGCGAACAGTCAACTGAAATGCACTGCGGACTCCTTAGACCGTTGGACAAAGCAAGCAAGATTTCTCAAAAGCATTAATTATTGTCGAACGAATTAATTCAAAAAGTGGAGAATTTTGGCAACCAAGGAAGTGGAAAAGGAAATAGTGGTTTTTTTGACATCAAGAAGAAAACAATTATGTGTAAAGCTTGGTTGAATGGAGGAAAAGTAACTTTGTAACACAGAATGAATGTATGTTCAAATCAATCTTCACTCAGAAGACGAAATGTAGATATATGAGGAAAGTGGAAACACTACGAGCAGACATTATTAACGATACCATCGCCACACCATATATGAAGCTTAACGCACTCGCTTGGACTGAGATCCGGCCCAAACGGTTTTTGAGGTACCGAAACCGGTACCACAGGTCGGTAGGCGCAGGCAATAAGTCGCTATGAGGCAAATGAGGTTGAAACGAAGCTGTACGCCAGCAACACTGACGTCGCCGGCAGCAGCGTCAGTAAGCGAAAAGAACGGCATGATGATACATAGGACCAAGACGTTCCGTTTGTGTTTGCCGTGGGCACATATGTCTAATAATAACGGAATACAAATGCGAGACATGTGGCCGAGGCCGGAAGCCACGCATATGGAGCGAAAAAGTCGCCAGACGCTATACAGCGAGCGACTACGAGCTGTGGCACAAAGCAAATTCTCTACTCTCATTGCATCCAGCCGACCGAAGAAGTCAACGACAGTCGCGAGTTGCTACGACAAATTAGCCTCTGACGCAGTGACAAATCGCTGTTGACTACCGACAAAGTTGGGGTTTAAATTCACCGCGCAAAATAAAAATTGGAGGGTAAAAATAAGAAGAACTGTCGCTCCCTACTATAATGTGCTTTTCCAAAGTTGAATAGTTTCTTAATAGGTAATCAAAACTAGAAAACAAAAAAAGTTCAGTATAAACACGAGCATGAAGACAACGATATTTTCGCAGAACTGCGGTGCATATAAATTATTTTGAGTCAACCATTTCAAAGATTTTTTCAAGTAAATGGTGTCATGCTTCTCAGTCTGTAGATTCTACCAATTACAGCTTTTTTTATCTAGTTATTTTGAGGCAGGGATTTGGAGAAAGTTCTGTGTTAGATATTGTTACTTGAAA